CTGCACGAAACTGGATCACTCTTAATCTGAATGACAAGACTTAGTGTCTAAGTCTTCACCCTCCTCTCTGGCTGGGAACCCATCCTTTCCTTCTGGATCTCTTCACTGGTGATTCATCTCAGCGCAGTGAGGGTACTTCCCAGAGAAAAGGGGGTGGGGTGCAAATTGAAAACTTGCAAATCCTTCACTCCTAAGGGATCTGAATATGCATTAACAGGGTCAAATGGGAAGGTACACAACCTTTGCAGAGCGCCTCAGAATTACACTATGTAATCATTTTGCGTTGAGTCTGTGCTCTGCTGTTGTGGATGTGGTAAAGTAATCTGAGATGTAATATAGGCATTATTGTCTGGGTAATCTCACAACACATTAATCAATGAATGGGTTCTTTTGGGAAGGTAGAGCTAACTTCACCATCTTACTTGCAATAGCTGAACATAAATACACATTTCCAGTCCAGCCAGTGCAGTCAAACTCTGTTGAGCTGCAGGCTGGAAGACTTATAAAATGTACACTGGGTACAGGCAGTGAAATCCTAGATAAGGTCTATTCTTCTCATATCTCAAGTGAACATGGGACTACTAAAGAATATAGACTGTGTTAACGTCCTGTAGTAAAGCCAAATCACTTAAATATATCTGAATGCTCCCATTATGCCCATTTCATAGAAGCAAGCTTTAAGTGGTTGCCAGATGTTATGCCCTCCTGAGCTTCCAGGCTTGGGGTTGGTTTTTTTTTCTTTTTTTTTAGTACTGTGTATTCTTTCCTCTCTCTGCTGTCCATCGATCTATAATGAAAGTTGTGCTGGTGGTTGGACTGTTTTGGGCTCGCTAACCCTTAGCACTGCGCTTGCAGTTCCCTGGGGTCCAAAGGTAAACCTAGCCCAGGAAACCCTGGGGATCTGTCCTGAGGGGAAGATGACAGAAAAATTTCTTTGGGAAGTCTTTATAGCTCTTTGCATTGCTTTTCCAGGAAGAAAATTTATATGTCGTGGTCTGCTTGGCTTTCTATGTGAATAACTAGATTTACACAGCTACTTTTTAGCACTGCTTCGGTGTTCAAACAGGCCTCTACAGTGCCTTTTTATGTGGAAATCTTGTAGCTGGGTGTGGTGGGGAAGCCGTTCAGTGACTCATACTGCAGGGAATTCCCTGATGAATTAGAGTATTTTTACTTCTGGACTTGTGCGCAGTTTCCTTTAACGCAGGAGCGAGTGGCTGATAAGAGCAGATTACAAAGGCCCATTCACCGTTCAGCTGCTGCGGGTTGAAAACGGGGTGTTTATGCTTTGCAAGGCTGAAAATCCACCCCATGTAACATGGTAGGTTCATCATATTTTCATCATTAGCCATCCCAGGTGCCACAGTGTCACAGCGCCGTAAAAAAACCCGAGGCTGAAGTGGCTGGTAGTGAAGCACATCCCGGAGCAGGGATGGCTATAAATACCAGCGATCGGTTGGTAAATGTCAGGCTTCCTGACAAAACCCGGTGTCTTCAGCTGTCGGCAGCGCTGATGGCCACCTGTCAACGCAGTCAGAGAGCCCATGTGAAACGGGGAGTTTTGGGCTCCCCCAGCATTGCCTCTTGGGAGGAGCAGAAGAGGTTGGAGGGTCCTTCTTCCAGCCCTTGGCAGTGTTCCCCTGGTGAAGCCTTGGCTTTGTCATGTCAACTGCTGCTGGCACCAGGGAGCAGGGCACTGCGCTGGGGCTCTGCAGGGCTTTTGTCCTGCAGATTTGCATGCAGATGTTTTGTTTTTATTTCCTTTTTGTAAAAAAAAAAACAAAAAAACCAAAACAATACCTCCACAAAATAAACCAAATCCGTATCATGCCTTGACAGAACTTTTTAGCTAGATAAAGCGGTGTCTTTCTATTCAAAATACTGCATTATAAATCTTAAAAATGCCAAAATGAAGCCAGGTATTTGGGTTGGAGAAGACACTTCTTATTACTCGGTGAAAGTAAACAGTGAAATGAAAGGGAGTGAAATGAGAGCTTTGGAAAAGCCGTTTTCTCCCTTTTCCTCCCTGCCTCCTCCTCTCCTTCCTCTTCCCACTCCCTGTATAACAACTGCCCATTTGGGTACGGTAATTCCAGAGAGTAAACTTTTAACGGGAATGCCTGAAATGTGTCTGCTTCAGCTTGGTGTTATGTCTGTAATTTGAATTATTTGCATTTTGGAAAGGTATAAATTGCTCTGGTGTACTTTGCTTGGCCAGCAGCCAGGAGGGAGTTGCCGCGGGCCTGAAGCAGGCGGCCGCTGCAGATGTGGCAGGCGCACAATGGAAACTTCTGTGGTGGAGCAGCCCTGGCTCCTCCAGCATCCCGCCTCTCCCCAGGCTCCACGCCGTACGGGCAATGTGGACAAAACCGTTTTCTCCAGTGCGGGCAGATTGTCCTGATGCTTCAGGCTCCCACAAACCATCCCTGAGCCATTATTCCTTTCCCTTTTTTCCCCCTGCCCTCCCCCTCCCTTTTTTTTTTTTTAATTTCAGCTGAACTATATAAACCTGCAAAACATGTTTACTGTAAGAGGTTGACGTAGTGGTCTAAGGTTTCCCTCCTGGAGCTGGTCCCAGTCCGTGGGCGTTGAGATTTCCCTCTTGGTTCACCAGACGTAATATGAGGAATTGTCTTTTTTTTTTTTTTTTTTTTTTTTTTCTTCTAATAGAGAAATAGCATGTTAAATGAAATGTCACTAGCTGTTAATGAGTTGTCTATTCCCTACTTCTTCTTCCCTCTCTTCCCCTCAGTCGCTGAACTGCAATGGTCTGGACAGTCTCAAGGGAATTTCTTGGAGCAAAACCCGTATTGTTCTTATTAAGCTTCCAAAGACGAGCCACGGCTCTGGATTTTTATTTTCCTAATAGTTTACGTTACAGCATTTAAAATATTTCTGAACAAACTCTCTTTGTCATCATAAAAATTTCAAAAGCACGTAAAGGCACTGCTGTGTGAAGTAATTGAAAGGTTAGCGAGAGATGGAGTTGTTCTGAATTTTACTGGAGTATTGGCAGGAAATAAAAACCAGAAATCTGAATCAGATCATTCGTCTTGCAAAGCAGAAATTAAACAACGCAAAAAACCTGAACTTCTGGTAATCCGTTTACAATGGCAAATTGAACGTGTTAACTACTAGTCTGGATGTCTGTAGATTTATTTTTTCTTTTTTTTAAAAACACCAACAAGCTCCCTAAAAGCAGAAGTTCCTAGACTTTGTAAAATGTGCGATAGCATCGGTGTTGTGTTACTTTTACAACTGATGGGATTAACTGGGGGGGGGTGGGAGGGCTACAGGGGCTCTACAGGGAGTGGGTGGGAGATAAAGGAGCCTGCTCCCAGCCAGGGATGTGTCCTGGCTTCCAAATTTCGGTCGAGTTTTTTCTACTGACAGCTCGGGGGAAGCATCTGTTGGATAAATTGTGAAGCCATCACCAGTCCTCCCAAGAAGTCTGCTTCAATTCTGGCACTTTCAACAGGCATCCCTGAGGAGACTCAAGGACGGTCTGGCTGCTCCTTCTCTCCCCACAGCTGAACGTGGCAGTTACCAATTAAAGGGATTCCTTTTCCAGCTTCACAATTTAAAATGTAGGAAGAAACCTAAGGGTAGTTCTACTAATTGTTTCCTACAGAAAGACCTGCCAAGTCCACTGGGCTGTTTGTGCTGCAGCTTTCGCGTTGCACTTCTTTCCATACGTTAAAAAGAAAAAGGTTTTTGGACGTTGAAACAATCGCCAGGACTAGTCCCTCAGCAGCATTCCTTTCACAGTAGGACAGCTGTACACAAAAATATTATTTACAGACATTTGTAATAAATCAGGCAGTTCTAAATGCGTCACCTCCATCCTGGCCATGGAAGCAAAAAGAGAATAAAAAGTGCATTCACTCTTTTACCTTTCCAAGAGCTGTTTTTCTAAGGCAGACCCATGTCTATGTGATGAAGTTCAAAATAGCTAATATTTGCATTTGCATGTCCCGTTGCTGCAATAAATATACAAAAGAGATGACATAAAGTCTCATTTTCCCTTTCATTCCGGTGACATCTGGCAATGGTAGGTCTCATGAAGCTGCATGTGTCCCCACTGCCCAGCTTAGACAGTGGTCTGCTTGTGGCCTTTCGTACACGTTTTGTGTTTTTCTAGGCCTGCAGGACGGAAACCTTACATTTTGTATTATTTTTCCTAATTTCTTTGCTGTTGAGTTTTGAAGCCGCAAGGAAGGAAAAAAACCCTGTTATTGACCAATGACTTCTGTATCAGTGAGGTGCAGGAAAAATTACCAGACAAAACCAGTTTCTTCCAAAAGACAGGTCCCCAGAAAAAGTGCTAGTTGTGCTTTAAATCTGTATTTCCTTGAAAACAGAAATATAGTAAATTAGGAGGACCCAGCACACCACTAGAAGCAGCTCCAGAAAGCTATAGCTGGGAGCACTGTAGCTGAGCTAAACCAACTATAAAATGGAGTCAAAAGTTACATTTCCCAGCCTATGGCCTTGCCTTTTGATCCCAACAGCAGAATTGTGGCAAGCTAGACTAGGAATATATTAAAATTAAATACTGTCTAGCTGAGGAGCTTCCTTAATACTAACCTTTTTGTTTTGTTTAATATTAATGTTGAATATGACTTACTGCATAGGTAGCAATCAAAAGGCCTCATAGGTAGCAGTAGTTTTATCTGGAAGTTTGGGAAACAAAGGTGTAGAACAGTTGCATATTTTGTCCAAACTAGTGGCAGAATAAACTCCTGGCGGCTTTCCCCCATCACAGTATCATGCACTCTGGATTGTGGTTCCCTCTTTCAGAAAAGCTAAGTGGAGTCTCAGCGTGGGTTACCCAGATAGCCTCCTGGTTGGGCAACGCTTGGCCAATGCCTTCTGGGAGCTGTTTTTCATATATGCAGTGCCCCTTCAAAGAGTTTTTTGTTTTGTAAAAGTCATTCTTTTGTAGGCTTGGGAGAGGAAAAAAGGGACAGAACTAGATATCTTTTTCTTTTCTCTTTTAGATGGTCACCATGTGTGGGAAATGGAAGCCAAAACCGACAAAGAAATGTGCAAGCCAGTAAGTCTGCCTTAAATATTTTAACATCAAGATGAAAAATATATATTGCCTTCTCCAGCACTGTTACTAAAGAGGGATTTTGAAGGCTTTGGCACTGTGTCTCCCCACTGAAACAGAACAAGTACTTAGGCCTCCCCTCCTGGAAATCTTTCTTTAATGGGAGCGTGGGGTAAAAAGCCTTCATTGGAAGCTATCCCAAAAGTAGGAGAGACCATTTGGAAAATATTTTTTCATTGTCCGAGATGGGCCAGCCCTGTCTGCTCATCTTCTGTCTTGCTCGGTCAGTTCTTCCCTCTGCTCCCAAAGCAATTTCTGATCATTTTCCTTGGCTTTCGTCTACCATCATCAGAAGAAACGTGAGTCCCCTCGCAGGAGATGAGCCTCACGGTTGGAGAAGTGTGACTCCCTCAGCCATGACTATAAGTGGGAAATAGGGCCACTATTCCATCTCTGCAGGAATATGCAACATTTTGTTAGCTGCAAACCTGCTGGAGACATGCAGACAAACAATTTAAAGACCTTAGCTGAATGTGGGCCAAATGCTAAGACGAGCATTCCCCCTTATTCTTTCAAAAAGTGCCAAGGCAGGCTTCAATGGTCATAGCAGATTTCCCTGTGCATTTGTGTAAGCTGATGCCCTGACAGCTAAGTCGTTCCTTAGCTCCGTGCTGGAGCATTTGGTTTCTGCCAGTGGAAGATGATCTACACGCTCTCCAGCCAGAAGTAGTTCCCGTAGCACTAGATGTTCTTGCAAGATCTCCCATCCACAGAAGCTAGCATGCTTAAAATTTCCCGAGTTGTTATATGAAAAAACATTTCACTATGGAAGATGGAAATATTTGAATAATCATATGCCTGTCCTCATTCTCCTTTCAAAGGAAGTTGTGTTAGGGTGAGTTATATGGGGAGTGACCTGCCAGCCGATTGGTTGTGCTTTCTCCTGCTGAGTTAGAGACCACGATTTGATTGTGGTCTCAGATTCTTGTCAGAGGCAGAAGGGATAGAGCCTAGTCCATATATGGGATCATATTGGCTGTCCAAAGGGAAGGGGTGAAGGCTAGTGATTTTGTAAAGACCTGAGACAAATCTTATTTTCCTAATTCTGGAGTCCTTGGCCTGGAGGACACTGGGGGTGGTGGGAGGCCATCCCTGCC